ATGACGAACCTTCCTGGATCGAGAGTTTCACAGTAAAGACTGCAATAGTGCATATAATTCGGCACACTTGCTTCCAGTGGACACGCCCAAGCCCTCGACAAGTTCTCAGCTACAAATGCGTTTCCAACCCGATGTTTTGTTTTTGAAACATCTGTGTAGATTATGATGTGATTTGCCATGTATTCTTCGAGAACTGATCGAAATCTGACTTTTAAATCTATGGGAAGGCATTCTGTTTTCTTTACACTGGTAGTGTCGAGTCTTACTACTGGCATTTTCAACATCCAAACTGGAATTTCATATGGTTCGTATTCAAAACTGGTGGTAGGACGATGTTGTAGCATTTGGCTATCTCGATTGCGCGGATGTTGGCTGGATGAGTAGCTGAAGGTCTTTGATCGTAAATATTTACTAGCTTAAGTCGAGTCATCAGTGAGTGGTTTAAATGTTTCGGTAGAGACAGCAAGTTTGATCTATAGTTGAGTAGCATTGTTTGTCGTCTGTGATGTAGCGACGATGGTGCTGGTTTCACAGTAGAGGCTTCAGGAAGGACTAGTGCAGATCACGCCAGATGCATATCGGAGGCTTGCATTGTGAATGGGATCTAGTTTCCTTAAACTTGATTTTCTGGCTGAGAAGTACACTGGACATCCATAATCTATTTTGGACATCACCATGGGTTTGTACAGTACAGAGTAAGATGTCTATCTGCTCCCCAATTTATATGGGAAATGCATCTTATTACATTCAGAGCTGTTTTGCATCTTCGCCAGGTATATTCTATATGCTGTTTCCATGTTAAATGCCTATCTAAATCAAACCAAGGAATTTTTCCGTTTCATTGTATGTCAGTGGAACACCATTCAGCGCCAGGTCTGGATCTCTATAACTTTTTCTTTTCCTACAGAAGTGAACGCATTTGGTGTTGGCTGCTGTAAATGAGAAACCAATGTTTTTTGCGTTCTGTACTAATTTATTGATGGCATTTTGCAATTTTGAATTTGATCATTGCCAGTGATTTGGCTGAATAAAATATAGCAATGTCATCTACATACACGCATTTTCCAATGATGTCTGAAGCTTCTATGCCACCAAACATCTCATTGATTGCTATGATAAAGAGTGCGCCACTCAATGGAGAGCCTTGCGGTACACCATTCTCTAGGACGTAGCTTTCTGAGATGGACTGCCCAACATGAACTTGTAAAGATCTGGTATTAAGGAAGCTAGATATGTATTTAATTTATTATCATTATATTTTAATTTAATTACTTAATATAATAAATTATATTTTATTATTATCATTATCATTTTTATTATTATATCCAGCAGTACAGCCAGAAGGATATTGCCAAAGATAAGAGTATTTTAACAATACAAACCTTACTTAACACAGCCTATCTCTGTAATGTTAATTGCATAGTTTATTAACCTTTATCTATCTTTAACCTAAACTATTTTGGAAGCAGCAATGTTCTTATCACACAGGTTTTTCCATAATGATTCAACATCATTTACATTGTGTTACATTGTTTTATTCAACATACTATTTTTTTAAACTTTTTCTTCTTCTTTCTGTAAATAAGGAAGTCATCCGCAAAAGTTTAATTTTTGAGCCTATTCCTTCTGCTATGTCATTTACATATACCAAATATAGTAAACGTACAAATCGCTCCCCTGTGGAACACCATACGTTACACTAACTCTCTGACAGGCTGTTTTCCACCCTTACTCGCTAGTGTCTGTTATTTAGAAAATCTTTCATTTATCCCTCCATCCATTTTGTTCAACGTTATGAAGATAACAGTTTAATGGTTTTGTGGATTTAATAAATTCTTGATTAATGTAGTCGGTTAGTGTAAAGTCCATTATTATTTAAAACTAACTTTCCATTGCGACTATTTTCATTTGGGAAATCACTATTACTTAAAGTTGTACTCATCATTTTTGTGTTATTTTGAATCTTTAATATTCACGTAACATAGTGCAATATACATTTTTGAGATCTTTTGCTCCTAATGGCTTGAAAATGCAATTTAAATGTCTAGTCGTGCCAAATATTTTGTCACGTCTTAGTCACTACAAGACACTACTAAACTATACTGCAATACTACTTCACAGGACCAAAAGGTGGTAGCAAAAATGTTGAAAAGAAGTAAGATTGTACAAACAAAGGAAAATTCAGAGAATGATGAGGAAGATGCTGAAGAGGCAAAATATGCACCAGGATTTCCTGAGAGTATTGTTGTCACAAATCCTGCATTTACCGAAAATTATTATTTTTTGTCTTCATGTACCTTTTTCTCAGAAACTATTGCACATAACTCTACAAAATTTTCACCACTTACATATCTTGTATTTTTAATTATTTGTTGCTTTTATATAAGATTTCAATTATTCAAAACTCAGATATTGAGTATATTTACAAAATAAATTAAAAAAAAAAGTATGTTAAACATTATAAAATGTAGTAAATGAATTAGTAAATGATGTAGAATCATTATAAAAAACAACAACAAACAAACACCACACACACACACAACAGTGAGATAAGGGAGGTCACTATTGTGCTTCCGGTATTAGAGTATGAAGCAGTGTTTTGGGATCCATATAGAAAGGACCAAATAAACTCAATTGAAATAGTCAGTAAATAGTAGCAAAATTTGATAAAAGGGGAGTCCGTTTGGAAATATTTCCAACAAAGTATCGGCATAGAAATCAATGGCGAGCCATAGGGAAACAGCAAGGTTGTGTATTACAAAGCATTAGAGAAAAATCCAGAATGGAGGGAAATTCAGAAAAGTATGCATGAACCCATTTATTTAGCATGTCACAACCATATTAGAAAAATTCATACAAGGAAACAGAGAATCGAAGTTGGAAAATTCTCTTTTGTAAATAGAACTAATAAGTCATGGAATTACCTGCAGCACTAATGGAAACTTATCCCACAAAAATGAAGACTTTTATGTTTAGATTAATTTCTAGTAATAGTGTTGTAAGCAATATGATCAGTAGTCTGTAAGGGGCTTCTGCATTTAGTAGGAATGCCTTAAATGAAATAATATTACACTATGTATTGTATTGTATGTATTCTAGTGTTCTTTATTAAATTATATTATTGTGTTAGATGTAAAATAAGAGTGAACAATTTGCCACCGGGGTTAATGCCCTAAGCAAATTAAATAAATTATCAATCTAAAATCATTATCATTTGTTAACATTTTCAAAAGAAAATTACCACTCAAAAACTTGTCTCTTCAATCAATATTATAAAATGGTTATATAAGAGGGGGATATGCCAAGGATCTAACAAAGAAAAATGGCAATCAATAGTGTTTCTCAGAAGTTTGAAGATAAGTGTAATTAAAGATAATTTTCCTGTTAGCTAGGTTTTGAAAAGTGAATTTTGGTATACATGAGGATGTGCCTTGAGAATAACCACCAACGTTGATAACCAACTCCACCTGGTAGGTAAATTCCACTCCCTAAATTAGCGGTATTTAATAAACAGTCACAGGCATTTCTCTTGGGTGAATTAGAGACTCTTATGGTCTGGACACAAGGATGAAATACGGGTTCTGTAGCTCAAGAAAATGTACACGGATTATACGTCTCCCCAAAATATCTTATAAGGTGTTAGCCTCAAAGGAAGTCTTGGCCAAATACACAGGTGCAGGACTCTGGCCAATGACCAAGTTCCACTAAAATAACCCATTTGATTGCAGTCTCAGATTTCAGAAAAGTGTTTCTAATTTAAGACATACTTTTTATTGACAAAAGTATTTATTTTGCCCACAAATTACATTACACTACATAGGGGTTAGGTGATATTACTTTAGTCTTATGAATAGCTGATACTATTTTAATAAATTTTTCTTTTAACTACTATTAGCTGAAATTCTTTTATTGTGACATGTATTCAATCACAAAAATACTAACAAATGTTTTTTTTTTATCAATGGTATATTGAATATTTTAGATTACAAAGAAAATATTAAAAACTTATCAAAAGTTAATAAAGCAATCATGACCATTTCCAGAGGGATTCCTCAGGGCTTTGTGTTGGGCCAGCTAGTACTCTTCATTCTATACACCAGCGACTTGTTCCACGGTATGAAATCTAGCTTAATGAAGTACACTGATATCACAAAATTTTACTCTAAACCATTGACTGACTATTAACAATTACAAGAGGACCTTGAGGTGGTATGTTGTTGGTCAGAAACATGGTTAATTCCTGTCAACATAAATGCACTGTTATTCATGATGGGAGGCACAACCCAAAGTTACTTTACAACATTGACTCTACCACATTAACTCCCACAACCACTGATAAAGGATTTGGGAATTCTGATGATTCACAACCTCAAGTGGGAAACATATGTATCATTTATATCCAAAAAACAATGAGGCAATCTTCCTGTTACATAAAACTTTCAAAATACAGAAAAGAGATTCTATTATTTTTCAATACAAGACACACTTCTGATTCCGAGACCTCTTTAGAATCTTGGAACACACCCCAAATTAATAGTTAATTTAATAGAAATAGTAATAGACTTGGATCCCCGGCGATCCTTTCTTCCCGCTTTTCGAATTTCTCACGTTGGCTACTCTGACCATTGCTTTAGAACCTTTCTGTTTCTGTATCATGATATTTAGTGTGTTTTCAGTTTGCTGATTTGGTGAGTTTTATAAGTGTGGCAAGCTGTTGGTTTGTTTGGGGTGCCCAGGAACTCGTGCATAACCTTCCGCATTAGCAAAGGTTTCGTCTATATTTTTAAATTTAGCATATAACATGAAAAAGAGTTGGGGGGGGGCTGAAGACACCCCACATTACCATTTTTGCTACATGTTACCACTGCAGGGTTAATAATTATTCCCGAGGTACCAGAACACAGTACAGTCATGTTCTGACAGTATTTAAGTAACTTTAAAATCAGACAGTATAATGTCTTGACTCAGTTTCACAGTTCTAATATTACAATTTTATTTACCTCTCCCTGTAGAGAATAACTATTTGTATCCGACTGTCGAGGACGTTTATTATATCCTGAATAATTTTGAATCTGATCTGTAACTGGAACATTGATAAGTTCACGCTGAGGTTGTGGATTATAAGGCATTGGTCGGCCAACTACACCTCTCATTATTCCTCCTCGCATTCCTGTAAAACAAAACAGCCATATAATTCTGTAAAATTAAGTTAGACAACTCATCGAACTCTCCATTTGTAAAACCTGGTGGTCCACCTCGAAATGGAGGCCTTCCCCAAATCATTCTGGGCTCCATGCTGGGTGCATCTGGATTATATTCTGCAAAACCCCAAAATACATTCCATGAGTCAATAATTTTCGACAAATTGTACAAATTTCAAAATAAGAATAATTTATTTATTATTCACCCATATTAGTAGGATGAGGCCCTCGGATATGATGAGGTGGCATGTGATGAGGCAGCTGATGAGCTGGTGGATCAACCCCCAAGGCAGTAGGAGGGATCCCTGTTAATGCTGTGTGTTCAGATGGTACAAGCCCTTCAGAGCCATCAGAAGGCACTTGCCCTGGTGCTGAATTGGCAGTTGAAAGTCCTGTAGTGCCAGAAGCAGGAGGTGGTAATGCATGTGGTGGGGGAGCATTCGGCCCAAATGACAACACCCGTGACAAAGCCACATCCTCCAGAACAACTGGATCATTGCCATGATCATAAGGACACAAGTCCCCTCGCATACAGTATCCTTTCTCTGCCAAAAAAACCCAAATTATATACATAGTACTATCAAACTATAAAGTGTGTGTGTGTGTCTATATATATATATATATATATACACACACACACACACACACACACACACTGAATCTGTCTAATGTTTTTACCATTAGCATAGCATTTCTTGTCCAAGAGAAGAAAAGTATACATTTACATCTACACACACACACACAAAACATTGAGGACAATTGTTCTGAGCAAATGCATAGTTCATATTCTTTGAATTTGGCATAAAAATTCTGCAAACTTATTAACAACAACATATATGTAAGGATTTGTTTTTTTTCTTTTTACATTAGGTCTGTTATTTACAAAATTTCTAGCAAATATTATTACATCAAGTATAGTTTTTAGCCTATTAGAAGTAGAGTACAAAAATATATGAAGTATGAAACAGCAAAATATGTACATAAATATGTAATGAAAATTATAAGAATATGTAACAAATACGTAAAAAGTAAAGTAATATGTAATATCAAAATTACATATTAATAAAACTTTTAAAACAAACTCTTATTAATAAAACATTTACAAACAAACAAATTAAATTTACACCCTTTAAAATTACATTAATCAAACATTCATTACACCAATTTTAAAAATTAATATTTCTTGTCCCACTGGATTCAATTTTTTTAAGAGTACATTTTTATCTTTGAGATTAACTATAACCATTGTACAATTGTGTGATCGCAATGTCTGGCAATCACTATAGGTTTGCCTTCCTAGTGCGATGCCTATGTGACCTATGGCTCGATAGTCCGCTATGGGCCTTAGCTAACGAGCAGTGAACCAGCAATGGAATGAGGGGTTCGTGTGGTTAGCTCAAAGACATCCTTTCGCTGTATATTCTGGCCATCATAAACTTGGGATGGGCTTCCTTTTTGTCACTCAGCAATAGATACTGGGATGTTTTTTAAAGAAAATGCAGTTATTTATTTGCCACGGCTGGGATTTTTCTTCTTAATTTACCAACTTAATTTATCCACTTTTTCGTTATCAGGGTTCGGCAATGAATTTTTTTATGTCAAAAATCCATCTTTTGTTGCACAGTATTACAAATCTTTTCCTATACTACCTATATTACTTTGCATATACGTATGTATACGAGAAAGAAAAAATTACGCTGAACAGTTTCAAGTCTAGAGACGTGGGTTTAATCAGAAAGAGACCAAACCAGCGAAGCATATAGGAAATAGGTCTCACCAAGGTAAGGTATAAGATTTTAAGTGTTTGCATAGTAGTAAAGAAGTCCAATGTTATACAGGAACATTAACCTCAGCAAAATAACTAGCAAAAAATCAATTATTTTGTGGTGTGGTGTGGTATCAATTATATATTGTGGTGAATTTCCAGTATCATTTTTCAGAAACATTTCATTAGGAAGTCCAGATACTTTTTCTTTTCATGTTCACACATTTCCAGAAAAAGCGGATATCAATGCCAATGTAAGATTCAATTACAATCATTTATCTGGAATAATCTTTAATTTGCTTACGTTTACAATTTCTTTGTAATTCCGAAAATAAATCAATAATGCGAGTGAAGAGCAGCAAAGGGGCTATGTCAATAGCCGTGCTTGTATTTGTAGCTATGGTGAAATGTGTTGGTTCGCAAGCATTGAGAATCGACAGACGAGAGGTGTCGATGACCGATTCCAAAATGACTCCCAAAATTGACAAGTACAGGAAGAACCCCAAAGAAAGGTGTAGGCGTTAACATTACAAAAAATTAAGACATGTGTGGACAGTTGGTTTATTGGGCCTAGGAAGTCATCAACTGACATCGTTTGTCCTGGTGGATATAGATGTTACATACAGTGAGTGTGAGGGATGGGAGGCACACACACCGACTTTGTAGGTTGATCTGCATAGAAACCTTTGCATAAAGCAGCGCATCATGAACCAAATTAGCAACCTTGTCACAAGCATGGAGGCTGTCTTTGACATTTACCTTATAATGGGCTAAAACCGCAGAAGGAAAGGGGGCATGGTGGAACAAAATGTCTCCTGTACACAAAAAATTGAAGGCATTTAACAGGACAACAATAGTTTTAGTTCGGCTCGGCCATTAAGATTCCAGGACAATAAACACATAGTTAGAGTTTAAGATGTTGTTAAGGTCTTTTTCTTTTTCTTTTCTTTTTTTTTTTTTTTTTTCCTTTCCCTTTCTGCCTCTGCTGCCTGATGGGGCAAGTGGCCTCCCTGACTGAAGTTTCCTCCGAGGCAGACTCCTCCTGCGCAAAGCTTGACAGGCTAAGAGATCACTCAGAGCAAGTCTCAGGAGTTGGGATACGTGGTCGGAGTTTGGAAGTTCAATAATTTTGAAGGGAGTCTGTGCCAGATAGCTGACGGACATCAACACATCAACTTATAGATCAACACACATCAACTAGCAAAAAATATTTTACTTGGGACTTAAACTTTTGTATTGACTTTAATCGATTAATGTTATCTGGCAAAGTTTTTAAAATAATGTACATGTATTGTATGTGAATATTTTGTAGTGAGCTATTGGTATTGGCACAAGGATTGTAAAAGCAAACATCATATAAATTTAATTTCAAAATTTTAATATTCAAAATTAATACATCGCCCAAAATTCATTTGGTTTAGGAATCTCTAACATTCACGCGAGGAATAATTTGATTTGACAATGACAGTGTTATTTTACCACTTTTTCAAACTTGTCCGAAAGTATGAAAACATTTTTAAAATACGCTTTAGCTATTTTACTCCGGAAAAGAAAAACACCATGTGAATTTTATCATGAAGACAAATGCCGTTTTGATATCAAAAATCTTGTCGTAGGATAAACGAGCTTGTGCGTAATATCTGCTCATTCTTCCCGGTAGTGGAATGTTATCGGAATATCTTAGAAGTAAAATATATGTAAAATCATGCGAGATGGAATATTGGTGATATTGACACAATTAGTTCAATTTTCTTTTTGAATTCACTTCCAAATTGGAATCGATATTTTGAGTAATGAGTCAAACAATTTTATGATGGTATTCCAAGGACAATGGAAATATGTGAACAATAATAGTTTTATACTACTATTACAGATTATACGAGACCATTTAATATGTGGGGGGGAATATACTGAGATGCAAAGTGACGAAAGCATAAACAGACTTTCTGGCTAGCCTGTCTGGCCGTGCCACCGCACCGAGATAGAGCTAACAACGGAAGGGTGATGCAACGGCGTGGAAGGAAGAGGGGGTGTTCCCAAATTTCATTTTACGATGCTCCTATTCATCCGATTTGCACGATTGACATGTCGTTGGATTCAGGCAAGATTGCGCTATAAGCCCACTTTTTTAAAATTTTTTCTTAGAAGTTCGAGCACCAATTTCAAATTAGTTTTTTAAGAAAAAACAAAGGCTTTATAGTGTAAATATCATTATAAAAAGGCTTTGAGTGACGTTTAAAGATCAAAAATTGGACCATTGGTTCAGACTTTATCGGTTAAGAAAATTCCCCTGAGACAGTACTGCAATCTATTGAATTTTCTAACAAGTATTTTTCAGTACATTTAGCCTTAACCATCGATTATTGAAGCCCAATGTCTTTTCAATATCGATGTTTTGTTTATAAAAGAAAAATTATCAATCACAATTTTGCAAAGGGTTCAACATTCTTACAAAGTTAATGACATAAAAAGTGAACAGAAGAAAAATTCCTGAAACTACTGCGTATGCTACGTTCATAGAGAACACTAATTCTCACCCGAGAATAACACTATATATCACCATATGGCATTTTCATTGCCTTTCCTTATCTTTCACAAGGAGAGGCAGTAAATGCATGCACCGTATGAGTAACATACTTTCAGTACCATTGTTGGTTGAAATGAAGACCATGTAAGAGAACCCTGGGCATTCAGTCTTAATTTTGTTCATTATTCTTACATTTTAGTTTTATTCTTAACATTTAGTTTGCAGTTGAATCTCAATACCAAATCATTAAACACAGCCATTAAATTAAATTGTCACCCATGAATTCAATGCTCTTATTACTAAACAAACTTGAGAACATTGATCTTTTAATTTTCAACAACGATGTTTGGCAAACACGGAGAGAGGGAGAGGGCCCCTATCCCATCTCTCTCCCCTTCCCCGCCTCCGTCTCTTCCTCCCTCTCTTCCCCCTCTCTCCCTCCCTCTCCCTCCATTATTTCCCTTTTACCCCGCTCTCTCCCTTCCCGCCAACTTCTCCCCTCCAGTCCCATCCCCTGCTTTAAATTTTGACAAAACTGA